TCAGCCCAGGCAGACGCCTCCTCCGGTGACCCGGCACCCCGCGCACGCCGAGTGACACGCGCGCCCTCAGCCGCCACCGCCAACCCCCGCCCCTGCCCCCGCGCTCCATCTCATCCCCCACTCCTCGTCTCTCGGAAGATTGCGCCCCTGCTAGGAATTGCATTCATATGTGTACACAACTGATGGTCAACTGTTCTTTTTGAGTTCTTTAACAAACCATATGGCGCCGTAATCAAAATCTTTAAGACGAAGGAAAAGAAGAAGTAGCAGACGTATGTTCTTCTTGTTCAACAATAGATGGAAATACCTCCTAATTGTAACTCTGGAATATAAAACTCCTGTTTACAATTGCATCTACGCTAAATAAAAATAAATTTAATGTGCGTATGTGTCTGGTGTGTCTGTTTTTGTGTGTGTGACCGATAAAAGCAACACGTGCACTAACAACATGTAACAGCTCTATCGAATTCGCGCTCGTTCGTTAAACATATCAATGCACTTAGCGCTGCTTTGTTTACTACTTCGCTTAATGAATGCAACTAGTGAGACACGTGGTACCATTCCCCACTTTGTAAATCATTGTTTTTAAAGTGAAAATCGCTTCATCAGGAACGAGAATCCGAAACGTTAGGCACTGAACCGTGCGTTTCATGCCTCGTGAACATTCTAATATAGCTAAAAGTTTATTTAGTAGTCAAGTAAAAAGCTTATTGTTATTTCCTTGGAATTAAACCGCACAAACATCAAGCCCGTATTACTAATTTCCAACGCGCGCAGAAATTAAATGAAAACTACGTAGCTTCTGACCGTGTGAGAGTTATCTAAAGCATCTTTACTTTCTCAAGAATTCGGGGGAAAATCAGAAAACTATGTAACAGTTTCGATTTGAACCGAAAAATGCCAATACTTAATTATGTTGCTCTGCCTATTCTCGAACTGCCAGTACCTACTGAAATCTCATATTGAGTTACTACTTACGATAGAGCTGACGCCACGCAACTGCAAGGGATGTAGGAAGACGAATCCCGCCATTAAATGTTTGCTATTTACATTTACATTACAGTTTTGTTTATTTATTTTGATACATTACATTTACAGTTTCTTTATGAAACAGAAACTTTACTATTTTTGATATGCAAAAATCTGTTGAAGTTTATATTACTGTACTATGTTATTGCAGAATTTGGGAAGATTGTTTTTATTGAATTATTTATTCTATTGCAGTGTTACGCAAGATAATTTTATTTATTTTTTCTAGATAAATAAGCGTGCTACTTTTCGAAAAACATATGTGTTGTTTTGTTCAGCAGCATGTTTTCTGCTCCAGGCAGAAATTAATTTCATTTTAAAATTCAATTTAATTTTCATTTATTTTGCTCGTTTTCGACCATTGTTGTATGGAGTAAGGTACACAGATGCTAGAACTCCAAAAAAATGTAATACAGAGCCAAAAAAGGTTTTCTTGTGTTTAATACCACTACGAAACGGTCAATTTTCTTAGCGAAACCAGGAAAACTGTTTTTAAGGTTTTATAACGAAGTTTTTGGTATGTACCATGATGATGAGTGTTCCATCTTTTATATGCGCGTAACATACAGCCTACACTGTTCTCTGTAGTTCATTTTTAAAGTGTTTCAAAAACAATTCGAGGGGTGAGGTCATAACTAACACTTCCATGTTTAGTTTGAAATTGAAAACTTAATGTTCCTTATTTGCAGGGTTTTGTGTCAATATCCTCTTTTCCTAAAATAGCGTCCATGTTTCTTAATGGATTATATCTAAAATGAATAAAATGTAGTTCAAATAAAGTAGAATAATATTTTAATTACGTTTCCAAGATAGCTGTTTTGTGAAAAAACTTATCTTCGGTCCACCTATTTTGAAAGGTACCTACCAAAAACTAGTGTTTCCTCTGAACGTTCGTAGCGCTCAACCGGAACGTAAACTTCGTCGTCATTCACCTGTCATCCTTTCCACTTCATTTCCATCAATGCCCTTAGATCTCTAGCGCCCTTGTGCCCAAGCGTCCCCTTCATGTCCCCTCCGCTTTTCTCCGGACTCTGTTTCTGCTCTTCCCTCCGCCTTTCAGACCTCGACGCCATTCGTCTCGCGAAGCAACGACCCTGGCGCGTCTCCTCTGCAACACGAGGTATTTCGGCCGACGCGCCCCTACGCGCCGCGCCGCGCCGCGCCGCCGCCAACGCCGCATCTAGTTCAAGGGCGGCGGTCTCTTTTAAAGCGCGGACTTCTTCTTCACGGGCAACGAGGGGAAAGGGAAAGAGCGGAGGGGGAGGGGGAGGGGTGAATTTTCGAGCCCATAACTTCGCCGGGCGCTTATCGAAGTTCGTGCCGCTGCGCGCAGCGCGTTCCGCTATCGTCGATCGGCGTGAGCTGCTGTTTACGACGCGGCCTGAATTCCACTCGACTTAAAGAGTTGGGGCCTGATTTAAGCTGTCTTATCCTAACGCGAGGCGAGACTCATCAGATGTGACTTTTTGCCTATAATATTCGTTTAGTGTTCATCGTCCCCTGCTTGGACGGCCTATCTGCGTGCTGTCGCAGCTTCTTCACTAATAGTGTGAGATTCACAAAGTAGAAGTGCAAAGAGAATCTAACTCGCTAACTTTTTTTTATTTTTACTCTTAAATTAGGCAATTGTTTTTAACCACTATTATCCATTCTTGCAGTAAATAACAAGAAAGAGTTTAAATTTTACATTTGGGCATATAGTAAACGCTTTTTTGCAACTTTACGCAAATATCTACCAAACAAACATACAAAAAGTAAACCTAATTCAGAGTTATCATTTAAATAAAACGCAATACTTTTTGATTCACCCAACTGACACAATGAGTCTCTGAAACGACTTAAAACAATTGTCTCTACGAGCCGAAGGCATCGAGAACCCGATGGTGGATGTGTAGAAAAGCAGGCAATGGATTGTGGTCAGTGCGTAGAGAGGTATAAACGTCTTGATGTGGGTAGGGAGGAGGAGAAGAGTACACGGTATGGAGTTAAGTGGACTGTGTGGAGTAAAGAAGACTATGTGGAGTGAAATAGACGACGATGGAGTTACTTCAAAGCGCTGTAGCAAATCTGCCATGGAGGTACTTTGGTCTCCACTGCTCAATTTGGTCCTCAGACTTCGGAAAAATTGGATTGTGGTCTTCTTGGAGCTTAAGAGGTATAAAGCTATGATCTTGTGTACAGATGGCTGTTGTTATTATTATTATTATTATTATTATTAATGATAATAATAATAATAATAATAATAATATAAAGACTAATGGTGGGAAGTGGTATTCAATAATCTACATTAAAAATTAGCAATCAACCACAGAGTCACATACTACAAATTAATACTGAAAGAAAATTATGAGAGTCCATTAGTAACCAATACACAGGTTTGTCAATAATCATGCAGGGAAATGAAATTGCGAAATTCCTAACCAATAATTCGATAAAACGGTTCAATATTGCATTTTCTCTGCATTGCATCATATTATACCATTAATGACTATCGAATACACACTCAATTATGCGCATATAATTCTTGGTGAATGAATATTAAATTTTGAAACATTGCTTTTAGGCGTGGGCGTTTTATGGATTATTTGCAAACTGTATAACTATTCTGATGTTTTTAGTCAAGAGTGCTTTTCAATGTCTTTGATCAGTGGCGATCAGGGCAGTGAGAGTATTTAAGACTTTTATAGCTTCAAATTGAAAAGTAGTTGTGAATTAAAATTAATTGTAAATTAAATTCAACAATTAGATACGCTAATATGATTTATCAAATAAATATAAGATAGGTGTGTTGGTTTTTATTAATGGTTTATTACTGATTAAAGTAATTAATACATATCAACTATTCCAAGTTCAACAGGAGCTATGGTAACAATATGAATATACAGAAGTATTAACATCTTTCGACTTATTTTACATTTCCTCCTTGCGACCTTAAACATTTCACTACATATATCAATATTTTCTTGTTATTTTGTTGCCCCGTGGTAGCGAGGAATCACAAGTTTAATACTGCCCTAGCCTCAAATGAAACTTTCAGGAATCAAGAGTCACATCGTGAATATTTGTCCCTCTGAATTACGAAATGCTGTTACCCAGTGCAAAATAGCTTTCAATCAATACATGCGGCGCTTGTTCAAACGCTTTTATACTGAACAAAAATTAAACCCCACTACAGTACGCCACTCTCGACATATTGTAATATATTGGAGGATTCCATTGTGGAAATAGTGATCAGGTTAGCAGGATCGCCAGACTAAGCGAAATCGCCCTTTTCGGGTTGAAAATCGTCTCTCTCTCTCTCTCGCGGGACAAAAATTGATTTCGTAAAATACCAACCAATGAGCTGAAATGCATCAAAACGTGTGCGGTTCTGGGTGAATTTTCAGATTACAATAAAAATTTTCAACAACAAAGAATCAAACAAAACAGGCAACAACATTAACTGTGAGTTCCATTTTTTATACCTTATACATGATTTTTCATTAATATTTCGTTAATTCGTTCAGATATACTTCGAGAAGTGGTTTTGGCTAATATTAGTAGTCGTATGTCACGAGTAGAGTCATTTTAGACCTCTACCAGTGTGTGTTCTAAAAAGCATACCTTCTTTGTCGTGGTCAACATGAGTATATACTATATCACATTGGCAATACTTGAAGTTAATTTTAGAACTAGCCATTTAAAATAATTTTTAGATACAATCATCCAAAAACATTTCAATTTGGTATGCCAATGCGATAAATAAAATGATATATTTGAAAATAATTACTTTACCCCTAAAATATTCTTCCCATCTGCTGTAGTCATCAGAATAGTCATAATAATTTTAAAAAATTAACACATAACTCATTATTGCCAAATGTATACATTTTTACGTACATTATTAATAACAATGTTCAAACACACAAAAAATAAAACCAATCAAGCATTTCATAGGACCACTACCTCAAAAAAATCTTAATTGAGAAGTTGAATATTTCTTGTTGGGCGGATTTACAGCTATGTTATGGTGGATGTTTGTAATAAGGATCTGGCAGTCCCGCAGTTCGTACAATTTCTTCGTTTCGTTTTTATCTAAATTATTCACGGTAGCTCATGCTAAATTTCTTTCGTGATGATAAAAACCTGAAGCGAAGATGACATGTGAAACAACATGAGCTTTATTGTATTCATTATTGTCAAATTCACTAAGAAATCTCGAGACTAGTTATTTTCGATAAAGCTCAATATTTTTTAAGAAGAATAGGGATATTCACAAGTACAATAACACTTGTGAAGTGTTACTTTCGTATTTTGTACAAATATCTTTCAGCTACTATTATCAAACTACCAATATGAAAATAGATATTTCAAAGTTTTTAAATAGTTTTTAAAATAAATTAATATGTTTAATGTTCTGTTCTAAATTCGTTTGTTCAATATTGTGTAGCGACATGAATCAGCTTCCAAGACTCATTACTTAATGCTTTGTTTAAAAGATTTCAAAGCATTTTCATTTTCAATTTCAAATACATTAAAAATAAAGAAACGTGTGCAATGCACAAAGGGAAACTTACCTTGCGTGTTGAAAACGGCACCCAACTCACACCCGCAGCTTCGAAGACACGAAGTCGTGTTTCGTGATGATGAGATGTATTGCAGTGATTACAAAAGTCCTATTCTATTAAATTTTTCGTCAGTTCCCAAATGTTTCACACTGTAGGTTAACACAAAAGCAGGGTCTAAACATCCGCAATCGGAACACACATACGTGGGAATTCAACATCCTTTTTACAACACGAACACAGAATAGTCGATCCATTTATCAAAAGAAACAAACTGTTTTATATTTTAATTCACCGATCATATGTACCCTGTGTATTCCATTCTCGCACCAAGAGTCAGTTAATAATCTTCCCGCATCACTCGTATTACTCACTCACACAAGTATCTAATAGAAAAACCAGACGTCTAAAGAGGATGACAACGAACGAGCGGTGCGTGAATCTTGAAAGAGGGAAGGAAGGAAGGAACGACGCAGAACAGGGAAGAGGGAGTGAATAACGGAAACACACACGTCATCGCAAACTTTTACAAAAGTATCAATCTCGTAGAAAAGTCGAGCAAGGAAGCGGCGGCCGGCGCGCACGACGTAGGGGCGCCGCGTGCGCGCTCAGCGACGCAGGAGTGGGTTGGAGCGGGGCCGGGCGGGGCGGGCGCGAGCGAGGCGGGAGCAGGCGGGACGGGGAGGCACAGGGCTCTTATAGATTGTCGTTGGCCTGCTCCCGTTGTGGCGCGTAGTCTTGGTGTTGCACGTCTTGTTGTCGGCGTCGACGCGGCCGTTCGCCTGGTTGACGGAGGCGCGGTGGTAGCGCGTGCCCGAGCCGCGGGCGCCGCTCACGGGGCCGCACGCGATCACCTTGCGGAACGCCTTGCGGAAGTTGTCCGACAGGAAGGCGTACAGGATGGGGTTGACGCACGAGTTCATGTACGCCAGCACGTGGCTGGCGATCTGCAGCATCACCGTCGTGTTGGTGATCTCGTACTGGTCCAGCGTCTTCAGCACCAGGATCACCTGCGGGAAGAGGATTAACAGAAAAATAACCTCGGAGTATGCAATAAATGAAAGCAATACATAGAATTTCGTAGCTCTAGAAATGTAGTTAAGGTTGAAATCAAGTCAAAAGTTGATAATTATGTTTCCCTCCAATTTTCAAATTTACAGCATTATATTCTGAACGCTCATGCCATTTTATTACCCGTATCAAAGAAAATGCCCAAATACAATTAATCTCGTTTAATGAGAAAGTTAATGGCACTTCAATCATGTCCGCGAAACATATAATTAGTTTTATGACTCGAAAAAAGCTATTTTCAATCGTTGGGACGAGACAAAATGACAAGGAAATGAAATGCAGGGTATTAATTGTTTCAAGCTAATGTATATTTCATGTAGTGTCATATTCAATAACTAACAACGTAACTTCAAATGTCAGCTGACCCTAAAGCGAAATTGTTTCACGAGAATGGCTTCATAACATGTGTGAGAATTGCGATTGTGATAACATACCATTTATACAAGAATTGAACACAAACTTACAAATAATATTAATAATGAGGACTGAAGTACGATAAATAATTGCGAGTGCTTTTCACAGATGTCCGCGCTGCTCTCAAATGTACTAAAATGTTAAAGGTCTCAAACCCCGCTCGGCAACCTCACTCACCACCCTCACCCCAACCTCTCCCGCGAAACCCGCTCGCCAATCGCACTCACCAAACCCGCTTACCACCCTCGCCTCAAACGTCTGGCGAACCCCGCTCAGCACCTTCGCCCCCAACCCCGCTCACCAACCCCGCTCACCAACCCCGCTCACCAACCCCGCTCACCAACCCCGCTCACCACCCCTTCACTAACCTCGCACGCCAGCCCCGCTTCCCATCCCCTCCCAACCCCCATCGGTGCCTCGCGGCCCAGTGAACAGGAAAAGCATAGCCGCATTCGTTATTGCCATACGCCAGGCTCACCTTCAAAGCAGTCAAGATTAATTTGCGAGGCCGAAGACTCGCCGAACCAACGGCCTCGTTGCAAATAACGCAACTTCTGATGAAAGTTGCGTCACCTTATTTATATTCTAATTACTTTCGTGACGTTACACGTAGGAGCTCGAGAACACCCCTTGCAGAAGTCTTTTCCGATAACACGTGCTGCAATAATTTTAAAGGAGATGCGGGAGAACTTCACGGCAAAGATTTCAAAAACTGCATTTAGTTTTAAACAAAAATTCGATCTTAAAAAGTAAACGTTATCCTCACCTTTGCGTACATATTAATTTCAAATACGTAAATAGCTTAAAAATGAATTCTTGTAAGAGGTACGGTAAACGCATCTATTATGAACATGTCCGTTGTTTTCTCAATATTCTTTGGCATCAGAACTAAATTCATCATATCCAACTCATGGAAGATTAGAATAGTTTCCTTGCCTTAAAACCACCATTTTTTTAATTTGTTCTATTTTTTTATACGAAATCCGATTGAAATGCGAAATTCGATTTTGTTTGTTTCAGTAGTGGTCACTTGAAAAGTGAAAAAGTAATGGTCAAATGATAGATACAGTAATATCCAATCAACATTATTCTATCTCCTGTTCGTGTTTGAGACCAAGAATGTTTAAAAAAGTCCAAAAGAAGAATTCCCCTTCAAGTTGCATTATTGGCATTACAATTTTTATTAAATCTTTACAATTTAATTTTTAATTTTAATTTAATTAATAAATAAATTGAACTATCTTCTGAGCTTCACGGTTTATAATCCTTTATGATATTCTTTACAACACTTCACAATATGAGACAGTCATTGAAAACAATGGCATGAGAAAATCGTACGATGAAGCTGAGAAGTATCCCGCTGGGTCGAACAAGCTCGTCCCCGCCGTGCGCTGGCTCAGTACCTTCGGGGATCGCGAGGGAGCAGGTTAGTCTGCGCACGGATTTGGAGCGGAGCATGAGCGGGAATGAGATTCGGGTCGCTGTCTGATGCGCCTGGGAGGCGTCCCCGCGGGCGGGGCAAAAGGACGCCCCTTGGCCTGGCCTCGTGGTCGCACGAGGAGAAGAGCGGGTTGCAGCTTGCCCGGACACGCACTGCCGTCCAGATCCCCAGTTAACGCATGAATACGGATAATTAAAAGTTATAATTAGAGGGCGGATTTTAATGACGTAAACATCCCCAAAAACGATCAATAAAATGCATTTGGAATGTTTTTAAATAGCTCTAAAAGCAAAGAAAAATAACGGTGATCAAAACCAGTTCAGATGAACAACTCAAGGTGTTGGATATGTTACTGATGTAAGCGAGGCTTCTTCCTGTCATTCAAGGAACTCTGCTTGCAAACTTTTGGTTTGGACTATTCTTTACCAGGAAATCTGTCTTTAGTTATCCTGAAATCGGCTGAACCGACAATAGCGCTCACAAGAACCCTAGATTACCTGTCATTGCGATTTCTGAGCCAAGAAATCGAATAAGGTACTAAGAATTTTTTGGAGAACATTTAGTGAATCTCGTAAATATGGTTTGAAGCAAGTAGCGTTAAAATAATATTAAAATTTATGAAATTGGCAAAAAAATTATGGAGTCGGTAAGAAACTACTTATTAATCGAAATTGACGAAAAATGAAGAAAATGTGATAAAATCAATATCTGTTGACATTGTTCAAAAGTGAAAAGAAAAAAAATATTACATTTCATTAAAAATCCGCCCCTAATGATTTTTTACAAAAATAGTGAAGCTAACAGTGTGCAATACAATAATATAGTATTCACGGAATTGAGTTGCACCGGTTGAGAACGTGAGAGTGAGAACTTGTTGGACATAACGTGTGAACGAGAATGTGGGGGTAAGAAGTAGGGAGAAGGAGATCATGGGCAAGCCAGAGCAAAGGCAAGAGCGTGAGAGAGTGCGTGGGCAAGGACATGGGAGTTAGCGCGGACGAGGATGTGGGGAAGTGTGTGGGCAAGGGAAGGGCGAGGACGTAAGCGAGGGCGTGGAGGAAGACACGGAACGTGCCTGAGAGAGGGCCGGAACACGGTCGACCGAATGGGCCACGCTGTAAGGCAGGAGGAGATGATTCGGCCAGAGGGTGTTTCTTCGCCCCGAGCCCTGGGCACGCCCACTGCGGGCGCTCACCTGGATGGGGCACCAGCAGACGGCGAAGATCACCACGACCACCACCACCATGCGCGTGACGCGCTTCTTGCCGCGCCGGCTCTCGGCGGACACGTGACCTCCGGGCGCCACGCCGTGCCACAGGCGCAGCAGCATGCCCAGGTACAGGCCGCAGATGAGCACCAGCGGCACCAGGTACGACGTCAGGAAGAAGCTCACCTGCGGCAGCGCAAGCAAGCAAGCGCGGTGAGAATGGGCACCCTCACGCAGCTAATAAGGAGGCGGACAGCAGTAATCGTTCAAAACGTTCTTTCTATTAGCCTACTGCACATCTTATTAAGGGCAAAGGCCTCCCGCTCGCGCAGGGAATTATTAATCATTCTTTAATGAAGGGTGAAGGGACGACATCCATACCCGAGGCGGGATTCGAACCCGCGATCCGTCGATCCGAGATCACCACGACCTACTGCCTTAGCGATCTCGGCTATGCGGATATACCGTTGAATTATATTTGCAGTTAAATACACAGGCACACAAAAAAATAGTGGTGCTAAAACAGCACGTACTTCGTTGCTCGTATTTTCACGCAAAATTACACGAAATGATCTCAAATTTTCGAAAACTTTTACATGACCTTCATTCAAAATGTATCTTTAATTTTATTAACATAAAAAATCTCTATCGTTAATATTTTAGGTGTAAGAAGACTCATAAATTTTAATTTTTGCAATTTTCGAAAAATCGAGTTTCGAGTTTTTAACAATCATGAGACCTACACCATTCTCTTAAACGTTCTTTATTCTACCCAACAAGAAAAATTAAACGAAATCAACGGCGCCATTTTTTTTAACTTTGAAAATGTTTTGGGGCTGAATGAAAGTAACCTCCATCATTAAAATATCGATTTCAAATTCAATATCCGCGATATCAGTCAAATCTATTGGGGAATATCAATTTTAGAGAAAATCAGCTAAATGGTTTAGCTGCTAGCTTTGCTCACAGACTGCAGATGGACGGACATACAGTCGTTTTGCCGTCATTCGATTTTTCGGTGGCAAAGAACCAAGAAACCATAGATTGTGGCTACACGACATGTTAAAGGAATTTTTGTTTCTAAATTTGGAAACTGAATTTATCCACTTTTTTGTTTCCAGGGCCCAGTACTAAGAGTTTTCTACCGAAAATTCTTGGGGTTTTCGCGCAGCATTACATAACTTTCTCTCTATTCTTTAGCGAGAAAGGAAAAAGTTCTCAAACCCAAAGACTTTACTGTTTTTGTATGTTCATCGACGCGTTGAATCTGAATCCAAAGCTAGAATTATGCCACCACCTTCCAGTTGTTTTTAATCGCAAAAGATCACCGTGAAATTTATAATTTAGAATTTTACGGAGATTTTTTTTTGCGATTTAAAAAAACCGGAGGGTTGTGACGCAATTATAGCTTCAGATTCTGATTCAGCGCGTGGACATACATACAGAAATATGTGTCAAGCTTTTGAGTCTAACAATTTATTTGTGTGTGTGTATGTGTGTGTAAGAATTCAATGGAATTAAAAATTACTTCAACGTTCCATATTCCATGAATATTATATAGTATAAGAACTGTATATAGCAACTACGTCGATATGCGTAGTGTATATATATATATATATATATATATATATATATATATATATATATATATATATGTCTAAATGCCAATGCAACACATGAACGGAGAGCAATAAATTGGTTTAAAGGAAAATATGCCTTTCAAAGGCGTAGTATCAATCTCATTCTATCCAAACACAAAGAACATGTTTATATATTAAACGTTCCTATACTTCGCATCCATTCGTGTATCAAATTCAGTGATTTACTTCATCGCGCATCACTGAGCCTATATAAAGGAAATATCAACCGAAACGGAGGTTCTTAATATAAAAACTTCCAATTGAGAGCTACATTACAAATAGTGAACTTTCACAACGGCTCTTGTATTAGTTTAAATAGAAATTGTCAATTTCACTGCAAAATCAATCGTTCTATCGTAGTAATTTCAACATAAATCACCTATAGCATATCAGTTCAATACCCAACAACCAGAGTCTGGGGAGGAAATCTATAATTTAATAACGTATTTGTTAGTTCGTGTAAAATCTCGAATTTATTGTTTCAAATAATAAGAGAAATTGTAATAAAGCATAATTGTACGAATAAAATTAATATGCTTACTTGGAATGAACACATCAACCAAAAACGTAACAAATAAATATGTTCTAATTTACCCGCATAAGCCCAATAAGTTGTCAGTTATGATATTTTTTACTGCAAATGGCCTGCGATTAAAAATGCTTGCGGCGCCGATCAATGCCGGACATCTGCGAAAGAAGACAACTCTTAAACAAGTTATCTCCAGGTTCTCGGGAATCATAATGAAAGGCCTAGTTGACTGTTGATAACCTAATCCATGTGACGCAAATGGAGACGTCTGCAATTCGCCTAGATAGCACCACTCGCCCAGCGTCGCTTCAATCCGCTTTTACCCGTGGGCGGGCCATCTGCCACCTCATCACACCCTAGCTCTGTTTTTTTCATCTTTTGTAACTTGCGACACATTAACGGTATAACGTGAAATTGCGCCCATATGATTTAGCACTTTCATTAATAATATTATTTGATTATCTCCATCATTCACGACTTATAGGTGTAGGTTAGTTATTGTATCGGTAAATCTTTTACGTTCTAACCATTTACGTAAAGGGAAATTTAAAAGGTCTGTGATTACTACAGAATACACTGTTGCAATCAGTGTCGTTTATCAATGAACCTCTGAAAGTAACTTTCTCTAAAGAATAATCACACATAGAGCTTCAAAAGAACATGCGCACATTTGGCACAGAAAGCTTGTACGCACATTCGAACAATTTAAAAAAGCTTGCCATCACGGCACGTATCTTTAGTAATCGAAGTCGTAATATTGTCCTTGATCAAGAATAAGGTCCTTGATAATGTTTCTTCATTGTAGTATTAAATGTTGCTCCAATTCTTCCGTTAATTATTTATAAAGCTATCTCCTTTCCGAACGTAGTTATAATATGTGTCCATAACGAGGACTGTTCACATGTACTTTCTCTGTATGAGTATTATTTATTATTTATATTATTATTATTATTAATCGTAATATTAATAATACAAATAATAATAATAATAATAATAATACAAATAATAATAACAATAATAATTCAGTTCCTATCCACGAACCTATCTTATGTACCGTAAGGTTCATTATTCTCTCCCTAAACAGCAAACGCAATCCACCAGCATTCTTTCATTCCACTCCCTCCTACTCTACTTTGTGGTACAGTTGATTCGAAGTCTCGCTGAAACTACTCAGTAAAAATAACCTACATGATCCTTACAAAATCCATTCAGCAATGAGAAATTAATCTATCCAGCAATGAGATAATTAATATAAGAAAATGTTATCGAGTTCCGTGCTTACTTCAGTTAAATACACGCTAACATACCTCTTCCAATACTAACACTCAGAAATAAATCGTAGAGATCATCCGAGAAAGCTACTTTACTTCGAACAACGATCCATTCATTCTCGGAGAGACCACTTGCACTAAGAAGAAACATTTCATTTTAATACTCTGTTTCAATCAAGTAGTTTACAAAAAGGAGGTAGGAAAAGAGAGAGAGAGAAAGAGAGAGAGAGAAAGAGAGAAAGAGAGAGAGAGAGAGAAATATAGAAAAACTGAACATTATGAAATCAGTATGAGTATTTTTATTGAATGTGTTGGATAAGACTTTGATGTATCGTATTGATTGAAGTTTTTTTCAAATCGCCACGGAACAATATGATGTAATTTATATATTGAGGGTTAAAAAAGACTGTAATATAATACATGAAACACTGCATTTCCTTTCGTGAATCAACCTGTCTAGCTCTGCCTACGATCGGTCTAAAGAAAATCGATTGTACTTCATACAGGCGACTTACATGAGTGGTGGTAATCTAAGCGCAAAGAAAAACAAACTAAGATATCACATTTTCAAAATAAACACGACATCCTTTCACATGCTGATCTTTAGAGGTGTTTTAAACAAATCCTTCCATCAATAGATATTTGTGTCCATTAACTAAACATCGACACCTGTTTCAAATACGAGTTCAAAACCTTGTGACTTGTAAACTATAAATTTATGATCACAAAATCATACATAGATCGCTTAAGTAATTTTATTGCATTTTTTTAGATATTTAAGGGATAATCTTTGTAACCAACATACAATTTTCATCTAAGATTTTGTTACAACCATGAAAATTGGGAAATATGCATCTCTCAAATAAATTAAAAATAATATTAAAGAAAATTGTAACTAAAAAAATAGAGAATTTTGGTGATAAGTCCCTCTTTTCAAAGCAGTACGTATAATTTTGCTGATAGTCTTTTTAGTTTGAGCATTTTATTCTAGGAATTTTTTTTTGTTATGAGTAATGGTAACGTGAATTAGTTACAACCAATTTTATTTCCGCGAAAGAAAACAGCATATAGATGTGAGAAATGTTTTTCTTATAGCAGTGGAATTTCCTGAAGAAGCTCAAGACATGACCTGTAGCAAATGACTTACGTCACTTCTTCTGAGCACACACGTCGAGCGAAGATGGGACAAGCTCACGCGAACATGCCTTCACGCCGCTCAATTGAAACTCCGCACTCGCAAGTGTCCTGGAGTATACCATCAAAACAACAAATCAACATGTAATTCATTATTGTCTGTTATTGCAAGAGCTGCAAAGTTGACGTTCAAATAACCTTACAACTAAAATGCTTATAGCAGGCAAAAAAGTTAAGCGACCAAAATTGCAACTACTAAGTTTCACAATTTCATACGCTAAACAAATTTCATGAAAAAGGAATATACCGGTATCTTGAGTGATGATGTTGGGGCTGCTTTCTGTAACTGTGAAATAAAATACAAATTAGTGTAGCGTATAGAATCAAACGTTGTATATCATTTAATCTAAATCCCTAATATATTCAATTACAAAAGATATGACTGAATGAGAGAGTTAGAATAAAGACATTACAAAAATACTTTAGGCAATAACTGCATTTCCTTGAAATATTAAATTATTATTTCATAGCAGGTTATGGGTACAAACAAATTCTATGTGAAATACAATGAAATAGAGATACATATTTCACATTCCCACTCATCTATATAACCCTAATTTTTTGTAAAAAAATATAAAAAGTTATGTTGTAGAAATCTGAGAATACGTAAATGACCAAACACTCGTAAGAGTATTTTTCATTCTGAAGAGTGTACACAAATCCAAAAAGTGACTTCATAGCATGCTTACCACATGAAGTGCATTGGCTCGAAAATCCTGACCGTAAAGTGACGTACGTTTATATATTTTTTTCATTTCTAATTTATTTATTATGAATGCGATACATCGTTCGGTTTTATATCATTTTCATGACTAGAAGAAAATTCTTGTGGCCGGGTGCTCTGATTGGTTGGTTTCAATGGTTCCTCCGATAAGCACCAGGTGAATGCCGGAGCAGTACCCTCAACGAACAGGCCATAGAGCGGGATTTTTCCTTCCTCTTCCTTGTCCTATCCTTACCCACATACACTTACATGCCGTACACTCCCAAATATGTCGGAAGACTACTCAGGAGCTTAGAGAGGCTAGGGCAATGGCACGCTGGGGGGAGATACCTAGTTAGGAAAAATCCAAGTAAGATGACGGAGCTCGGCGCCGGCTCTCGCCAGCCAGAGAATCATATTCTAGTATTTTTGAATACCACAGAAAGCTCACAATAGTATGATATAAGGGAAAATAAAACAAATTAATTTACCTTCCTAGCGCAATGCATTTGGACCACGAAAGTCATGGCAAAAAAACAACGAAAAAAATTAAATCATCAATTATTCTTGCATACAGCAAACAAAAGTTTGGAGTTTGCCTAATGAATTAAATCGTCAATGACTACAAATCGCAAAGTAAAACTTGTCGATGTTCAAAGTTATTTTATTATATGACTGATATTTTTGCTTTAAATGCTTACATAAGCTACTTGAAAATGATTCAATTCAATCAGCGTATTGCTAATAAGAAAGGGCATTCTTTGAAGTAACTGGTAAAATAATTATGTGTTTGTTAATGTGAAAAAAGTTAAAAACCCTAATATCTATAAAATACTAAATGTTCTTCAAGCCTTTCAGATAAACAACGAACATTATCGAAAATTACAGAGATATTTGTCTCCAAGAAAGGAGAAGGTAAACAAATACATGCAAATGCCATACATGGTAAAATTATTATATATTTATTCTACTTACGTCGTCTACTACGCCTCTAAAAAAAAATAACAAGAAACAAAATCAAGAGCTTTATGTCTAGGAGCTTATATTTCCTAAAACATTCAAAATCACATTTTTCTGCAAGCTACTAATCCCCAATTAAAATTGTTTAAAATTTCTATCTGTGTAAGAAGTTAAAATACAATTTCACTTAATAAAAAATAAAATTTATTACTCCTTCACTGGACCCAAACCAGTATATTATTAGACCGGGTCCTCTGAGGCTCAAAAGTGTAAATCCAAAATCTGAGTTTCGTGCTGGAAAGGTGAATGCATTCATTCGATTTTCGTTCATTATATATAACTGTTTTTTACTTAAAATAATCTCTATTGACCATCACATAAGCTCTCGGATTACTTTGGCCCTAAGTTTGTTTCATTCGCGAGTCGACTTCCAGGCCTCGCATTTCTCCTGCTACGATCGCAATCTCGCCGACAAGCAAGAAATCGCCAGGACACTTTCCCTGCTGAACGCATCGCCAGAGCTATTGCGCCTCAGCCTTTACGCAACCGGATTAATTGTTTCTACGTACAGGCACACGCACGCAAAGTGGAGTAACTCTTCCAGCGGCAGGCCACTACACAGTGCAACCACAAAAACGCGCATGCCGCTTTTTTCGTCTAGCCCCTTAGAAGAATATTCGAGGAATGGTTCGTAAGAATAAGTGAATAGATAAAAACAGAGCTTTAGGTCTTTTGAAATCCCGAGAATGCGCGAGTGAAGAGAGTAGCAAAAAAGTGAAAGCAGTCCTCTTCGTCATCCTCAACAACCCTGCCACAAACTTTCCTGTTAATTAATTGACACGCACAACTGATATTTAAAGAGACACTCTCTCTTGTTCGTCATATCCCTTAAACTCACAATTTCCCTATCCGTTCTTTTTTAACCCATTTCTTATTCATCTTCCTCCTAACACTCAATGTTAAATACATATTTGTTTACTTTTAACTATCGCTCCACTTCTAGACCTGACATTATTATTTCAGCTAATCTTTCTCATCGATTCACTCCCGACTGCCTTTCCGTCTCTTTAACGCTTCTCCTCATCAATTGTTCCCTGCCCATCTTTCTCGTCTCTCTGAATTCAGTTTCTTTCATCCGTCCTGACAACACTGTTTTGCCAAGTTACTCAGAACATGGTTTAGGCACAGTTTCTAGCATCAACAGGTTTCCTTTCCTTACTTTCTCAATATATCAATCATTTCCAAAAACATCGTCTAAAAATATCATACTTCTCTTAATAACTTCTCATTCACATA